ATCCGAGCCGCCTTCAGCTTCTCTGTTAGTAAGTCGGTGATGTATTAGGTTGTATCATTAGTTATCACTAATGAGGTGTTTGTTTTGTCCTTAATCCTTCTCTTTAGATTCTGTTTAGAATTGCTAACTAATTCCCATTAAAAATTAAGCAAAACACCCGCACTTGTTCTTGATTATGCAGGATCAATTGATTTACCAAGTTTAGGTCAAATGGTTATTGGTGACTTTTTTTGTTGTTGCCCCAAATCAAAAACCTGTTTATTTCTTTGGGTTTTCGTTTGAGATGCGGTTTCAGACCAGAATTTCTTTTCTTTCATTTCCTGCCAACAGCTTTATCTTTATTGACAAAGTAAAGCCGAGTGTTTTCTAAGCACCTCAGCGTAGGAGTACTGAGTTATGTTCAGAACCCTTCCCCCGTTTCTGGAAGTCATTCACTGAGTGAGTTCTTGTCCGAGTTGAGGAGAAAGCTTTGCAGTTTCAGCCTCGTTCTGGAGGTCAAGACTCTACGCTTGGTCAGGACGGAACATCAGCCGTGACACCAGCCGTGGGACAGGTGATGTCTGTCACATACATTCCTGATCACATCCTGGAGAGAGTGCTTTTCTTTCCGCCTGTCACCGGTTCTTCTGGGAGCTCAGGCGGAGCTGTCGGGAAAGCGTTAGGCAACTCGGGTTGCTGTGAGCCACAAGTGGCTTGATGGCAGTGGGTCTGGTGGGGCTTTTGCACTTTGCTCTCGAAGGAGGGCTTTCCTGCTGCTCACCACTGTGTCCCTGGACTTAAGAGGTTTCCTGCAATACTGAGCCCTCCTATGCCCACGCCAGCCTTCCATCTGGCTCCAGGCTCCTCTCTAGTACAGCGCCAGTTCAGGATCTGGATTACCTTCTGGTATTTCGAGAAGGAAATGGGTCATTTTCCCCTCCTCCAGTTGATTAAAATTCAAATTAGCTGGTGAAAAAAATAAAAAAGAATGCCAGCGCATAGACCCAGAGGGCAGTAGCTGCAACCTCCCCGCACTCAGGAAACCACACTGCCAGTTCCTGCTGGCTTCTCTGGAGCCTTGGTGGTGCAGTGGTTGTGAATTGGACTGCTACCGAAAGGTGGCTCTTCGGGAGAAAGACAGGGCTTGCTCCTCCCACCCATAAAGCGTTACACTCTCGGAAACTCATGGGGGCAGTTCTGCCTGGTCCTCGAGGGTGGCTGAGTCGGCATCGACCCCACAGCAGGGAGTTTGTTTTCGGTGTTTAGTGCAGCTTGAATGTCGTCCTTTAGTCCATTGGTTCTTGATCACGTGACCTTCTGAACCAGCTGAATGCTGACCAGTGTTTTTAGCACATTGACTGTGTATTCCTTCCATCTTCTTTTGATGCTTTCTGCATTTAGTATTTTGGATAGAAATTCTCAATATTGCAGCTTTAGACTTGCTTTCTCTCTCTCTTTCTCTCCCTCCTTTTCTTTATAACTTGAGAAATGCAGTGTTCTCCTTTGGTTTTCTAGCTCCTGGTCTTTGCACATTTCACTATAATACTTTAGCTTCTGGGACCACCCTTTGGAATCTTCAGCTCTCGTATTTCATCATTTTTTCCATTAGTTTTAGCCTGCTGTACATTAAGATCACATTTCTCGCTCCATTTTGGTCTCTCTCTCTCTCTTTCCTCTCCTTTTAATGACCTTTTCCTTCCCCTCCATGTTGGTTTTCACCTATGAAATGAAAATGTCATCTCTTGGATAGTGAACTTGTTGGATATTAGGATGTCATAGTCTAATCCGACTTGTGCAGTTGACTTATGCTGTGCTCTCGATTTCCTTTTGTCTCTGTGCAGCGATTGGAAAGTCTTCTGCTCTTCTCACGCCCCCTGAAAGCCCTCCTCCCTCACTGTTTGCTGACAGCGTCACCTGACAAATGTTTATGACTCTGGCCTTCAGAGTCAGACAGTGACTTGGTCCCCTTTTGCTAGTGTGACTTTAGGAACAGTTGGCTTGTCTTCTCTAAGCCTCATTTCCCTCCTGGGCAAGAAAGGAATTGGCCTCACAGAGTTGTCTGGAGGAGCAAGTGAGCATTGCATTCTGCTCCTTATAATTTTAGAGCGTAGCACATAGTGACGTAGCACATAGTGACGGTGCAGGGTACTTGAGTAAAGGATTTCAAATATTCCTAGGCAGGTTGTTAAGAGGGCCAATCCCTGGACTAGGACATCATGCTTGGTGAAGTAGAGGGCCCTTACATGGAGACCGACCCTCCATACGATGGATTAACACCGTGGCTGCAGCAGGGGGCTCAAACATAACCATTGTAAAGTTGGGGCACGACTAAGCAGAGCTACCTTCTGTTGTACATCAGCTCACAAGGAACAGGAAACAACCGGAGGGCACCCAGCAACGGTCATGTCTTTGGCACATGTGTGATGATGATTTCACAGAATAGAGACCACTAGGTCAGTGGATCTCAACCTTCCTAATGCTGCGACCCTTTCATACAGTTCCTCATGTTGTGGTAACTCCCAACCATAAATTATTTTCGTTACTATTTCCTAACTGTAAGTTTGCTACTGTTATGAATCGTAATGTAAATATCTGATGTGCAGGATGTATTAGGTGACCCTTGTGAAAGGGTCATTCTACCCCCAAAGGGGTCGCAACCCACAGGTTGAGAACAGCTGCCCTAGGTGGAATTCCCGTAATCCTTTAGCTCATTGTATCTAAAATCATATAAGAATTCCTGTCTGCCTGTGTTTCTTTCTTTACTGCTCAGAGAAGAGCGGCTCATCCTGTCCACAGTTAAATCCCTGCACCCTGCACCCCGCCATCCTGTCTTCTCCCATGCTAACTCAGACCATTGAGAATGTCTTCCTACTTCTGGATTTTTAGCGTCTTCTCCTCTACCAGATCCTTTCCTCTGCTTATTTTACTTCTTTCCTCTAGAACAAAATAAAATGATCCAATCCACTCCTCCCTGTAATTGCCACCCGCCTTTCAGCAGCACAAATGGTTCATTGGTTCGGTCACGCACCGAAAGGTTGGAAGCTTGAGGCCACCCAGAGGTACCTTAGAAGAAAGGCCTGGTGGTCTTTCAGAAGTCACCCGTGGAAAACCTATGAGGCACAGAACTGACTTGTTGGCAACTCTGGGGCTTTTTCCTGCCCACAGACCAGGCTGACTGGTCTCTGGCTAATTTGCCACCTGCTCTCTCGTCTCAGCAACTCTCCCGTCAGGACTCTGCTTCTCCCACCCCTTCCTGAAATCCATCTTCCAAAGGACACGAACTTCTAGATTCACTTGCGTTTGCAGTCTTTTTCCTTCTTGACTTCTTGTAGCACTTGACATCGTCAATGATTTTCTCCCTCTTCAAGCATAACTTCACCTTCTCCGGGTTGTGTCCCCTCAACCTTTGACTGCTCCCTCTCAGATTCCCCTGGGCGGCTTTTCTTTTGCCATCCAGTCTGCATGCTGATGCTCTCGGGACTTGAACTCAGGGTAGCTTGCGTCTGTTCAACGCAGGTGTAATGCTGAGTGCTCTGCCTGTCTGGATTCTGCTGGCCTTCCTGGGAAGCTGGTCGCTTTATTGGTCCAGCCTGAAAGCGAGGAGCCCGTGGTTTACAGCGAATATAGAGACTTCTCCTCATCGCAGTGGGAGGAAGGACCTGAGTGCAGGTAGCCTGACTCCCGAGCTTCCCTGCTTGCCCAGTGTGCTTTATTCTCCTAATACTGCATACCTCTAGACTTGGTGTTATTATTCCACAGACCAAAACCAACCACACCCGCTGATAATAAGTTGATTCTGACTCACCGAGCCCTCTTCAGATTTTCCTAGACCAGTGGTTCTCAACCTTTGGGGGTCCAACGGCCCTTTCACAGGAGTCGCCCCATTCATAACAGTAGCAAAATGACAGTTTTGAAGTAACAACAAAAATTATTTTATGATTGGGGCTCACCACAACATGAGGAACTGTATTAAAGGGTCATGACATTAGGAAGGTCGAGAAGCGCTGTCCTAGACTATCAATCTTTTATACATAGCCTTGTATTTCTCCTACAGAGTGACTAATGGGTTTGAACTACTGACCTGTGGGTTAGCAGACCAACCACTAACTCACCCACTGCACCACCAGTTGTATGTGTTGTTTCACAAACTACTAAAAGCCTGTCAGTTGAGATTTCTAGCTTGCTGGACATCCCAGCTGCGCAGTGTCTTAGGCCCAGTATGTCCAGAAATGATTTCCTGGCCTCGTCTCTCCTTTCATGCTCCTCTGGTTCTCTGAGTCATGCCATGGGCTTGATTTCAATGAATGGCCTCCCGCTTCCTGGAGGCGTGCCCTTTTTTCTCCATATTACCAAGTTGTATTTCCTTGACCTCAAATGCACCTCTCTGATTCAGGTTAGTGTAGTGGCGAATAGCAGTGGGTTGGGGTCAGCGAGCTTTGGATCTGAGCCCACGCACTGCCCCTTGGTAGCTGTTGCCACTGTCAAGTGGGAACAACAAATGGCTGCCTCTGTGGAAGCTGTGCAGGAGAGTGGATTGGCTCTAAACTCTCCTGAATTGTGTGCTTTAAACAAGGGGCCAGGCCCTGGAGAGTGTTTCGAAAACACAGTGCTAAGAATTGGCTCAGGGTGGGTGTGGGGTTTAATCGAGGTAGTTCAAATGAGCTTATTAGCACAGTGATTGGCACATGGCGACAATGAGAAACTTACTGCTAACAGCGTCACTCATTGCCATTGCTTTTAGGCACATCTTCTCATTTTTAGTCTGCTCTACTGAGAAAAAGGAGCCCTGGTGGTGCTGTGGGATAAGCATTGGACTGCTAACCTCAAGGTCACCAGTTCGAACTCACCAGACTCTCTGAGGGAGAAAGATGAGGTTGTCTGTTCCTGTAAAGATTTACGGTCTTGGAAACACTATAATTAGCTCTGTGACAGCAAGCCTGGGTTTAGCATGACTGATTTCTCGGCATTTCAGTCTTAACCCTCTTTAAACTATTCTGCGATTCTGTTAGCTGAGTGATTTTTAAAAACATCTGACCACATCATTCCCTTGCTTAAAATTCTTTAATGCAGTAACTCTTTATTTTTTTGTAATGGACTCTTTTTATAATAGGATTAAAAACGACACGACCTTTCCCCACAGAAAATGCCCTTAACATGCTACTCAATTTTACAAATAATGTTAGATGGCTCAAGAGTCCTAAAGCCATTCGTGGACCCTTATTTAAAAAATCCTTGCTCCAGCATGTTTATCCCCTTCCACATAAGGTCAGACTCTATCCTTGTTTAGTCTTACTTAGTATTCTTTGTTTTACCTCTCTGGTTTCTAAGATCCATTGCAATGGCTACCCAGAACCCAGAGACAAAATTGATGATGAAATAGTTTATTAAAGATATTAGCAAGTTATAATACCAGGGGAAAATGCTGAGGGTTGAGTTGAATTGGTTTGTTGAGACATGCTGCAAAATTCTTTCAGTTCTCCTAATAAATGCCGAAAGGAGCATCTCACGCTACCGTAAAACCCTCCATCTGAAGGCTTTCAGCCCAAGGCCCATGGTCAGCAAACTCAGCCCCCTGAGTTAAATGCCCAGAGGCACCCCACTCCAGTAAGCCTCACCCCCACTTCTTCCCCAGTTAAGTGCCCAGAGGCATCCCACTCCACATGCCAGTCTGCTGCACTTGCTCCGAAGGCTGAGAGCAGTCCATCCTCTGTTCCTGCTTCACTCCTGGTTCTGCTGCTGCTGCTCAATGGTACAGATCCTCCTCCTGGATCCAGGAGGTGCACTGCACAGGGATCTCAGGGCCAGAGAAAGACTCCACTCCTGACTTGCTGATACTGAGATTTCCCCCTCCTGTGTCTCAGAGAGCTCATTTTATACACAGCAGGATGGCACTGCAGGGAATCCTGTTCGAAATGACTCAGGTGAATCCTATCAGTTGCTTCCCCCACCTCCTTAACCAGATCCCTGCAGGAAAAGGTCCTTTGGCGGGAGTTAGAGAGTTTGTCTGGAAGAGCCCCCACAGTCCTGTAATGGGAGAACCCACCCGGTGCTGGAGAAGTGCTGTAGGTGCCTCCTTCTCGTTCTTCAAGAGAGTCCTCTTTTGCAGTTTCAAGAAACTCTTCATGTGATTCATCCATGAACTCCTATGGAATTTTGGCACAGTGCTTTGCATGTAGCAATGCTTCCTTATACCACTGTGCATATTACTTTGTGTTTTTGCAAAGAGAATAGTGGGATAGTTGCTGTCCTAATGGTACTTTGCATCCGAGCATTTTCCTGATGAGAAAATAAAAGCTTAGAGGCAATCATAACTTGTCTAAGGTTCCAGTGTCTGTTTCCAGCAATACCCTGCTGCACTGTGTCTCTTGAGAGTAACGTGCAAAGTTGACTGAAATGATAATAGCCTTCATCTGCTTTCTAAAAGGAATTCAGGTTTGAATGGGAATTTCTGCTTCCTTGAGTAAGAGCATCTTCTTCCACTTTTTACATCAGGGCTTTGTGTGTTTATTTTTTATTCTACTTGCAAGGAAATGGCTCTGGGTGGTGACTCACCCCCTTTAAATCTCTCTTGGTCCCCACCTTTCTGTGTTCTACTTGCTTCTCTCTACTTCTCAAAGGGTGAGAGCAAGGGGGAGCAAGTGGTAAATGGGGACTATAGTGAGTAGAAATGCGATAATTCATTTGTGTGAGGTTCAATGATTGGTCCTTTCATGTAGTTGTAAGAAGTGATTCTTTACTGTGAGCCTGTTTAAGCTATATTTCTCATTGCTTAATTTTCAGGATAACCTCTTCCAGTCTCTTGTTAGAAAAGGTTGAGGTTAAAAAAGTGGATATACCTCATACATCTTAGTTACTAATTTCATCATTTCTTGGTGATTGCCTTTCCCTCAGATTGATTATTATGTCTCTTGGAGAAGCATCTTTATATCTTGATGTTCTGGAGCTTAAGTGAGATTATGGGTAGAGTCTTTGCCTTTGATTGTCTCCTTAGCAGTTAACTTGACCTCTGTTTGACTCAACTCTGTTTGCACCAACGTTTGCTCATTTGATCACCTAAGGTGTACGATGCACTTTCTTGGAGTTACGCTTCCGTGGCACAAGTGCTATTAGACTCTACTAACGTCCTGCCCCAAACAGGTTAGGTTTATATAAGAACATTCTAGTTTTCCTTTGAATGTATTTTTTAAGTTCAATCATTTTTCTGTTTTGAATTTTGCTGTTGCTAAAATAAAGTTTTCAGGATTAGAAGACAAATTAAATGAATGAAAAAAACATTTTTTTAGTTGATAGGGTTTTGATAACAATTCGTGGGACCCATATCCCCAGGGGTTTCTGGTGGCTAGGGTCTTCATGTTCACACGGTTTACAGGCCCCCACCAGATGGCAGCACACTAAACGTGGGCTAGCTCCTCCCACTACACCTCAGAGGTAGAAAATGTAGGTGGGCACTCTATGTCCCAGGTCTTGAAAGCATTCAAATGTCTCTAAGCACAAGCTCTTGTACATTTAACTAAGGATTGTCTACTAAGTTTTGGCAGCTGAAGGCAGAGCCTATTAAGTTGTTGCACTCACTATGTAGAAGATGGGCTCTCCGTCACTGAGGTCTTCGGTGTACACAGAGAGCTAATAATAGCTATCAGTTCTGAGACAGAAACCAGCAAATGCTATCCGAAGAACAAACGGTCTCTTATTTCAATGTTGAGTTTCCATTACCTGTGCTTGCAAGTTCATCTTTTGAAGAGGGCTTTGTGATGTGACTGCTGGTTCTGATTTCTCCACCACTGCAAAGCAAAGCCCAGCTGCTCTAGGCAGGGAGCTCTGGGACCGGGGGGCGGGCTATTTGTACATGTGATTGCTTATCTTTGATGCTTGGAAAATACAAGTAGATGCTCCACAGCAGCAAATCTGGCTTTTGGGTTGCTTGTTTTACAACAGAGGTTCTCAACCTATGGGTCATGACCTCTTTGGTGGTTGAACGACCCTCTCACAGGGGTCGCCTGATTCATAACAGTAGCAAAATTACAGTAATGAAGTAGCAATGAAAATAATTTTATGGTTGGGGGTGGTCACCACAACGTGAGGAACTGTATGAAAGGGTCGCGGCATTAGGAAGGTTGAGAACCACTGTTTTAGAAGGAAGAGAGAAAAAAAAAAGATCTCTTTTTTTCGCCCCCAGCCATGAAGAAGGACCTGCTTCTAAGATATGCAAGACTGAGGAAGGGGACGTTCACTTTAGTATCTCCAGTCTGGCTGAGGGCCACATCACCAGAGTAAGTGGGGTTTGTCCCGTGTGCATCACCTGAACAAGGTTGGGCCTGGTGGGAGGGCTTCAGTTCCTGTTAGCCCTTAACATGTCACTACTCAGGCTCATCCCTGAGCCCTTTCTCTCTCAAGCCTTAAGATTTTATATATATATATATATGTAACTCAAAAAGCCTTGCTACAAAATATCAAAAGCTACAAAAACTATCAAAAAGGTATGTTAGAAAAGTTGTTTTTCTTAACATACCTGCATCTAGGTGTGTCCACTTCTGAAGGCTGGGTTCAGACTGGCTTCTGAGCCAGGTGGAAAGCAGTCACCTTACGTAAAGAAACGTGAGAGTGCACGTAGCAGCTACACGGTGCAGGAGTCTGCTAGCCTTTTCTTGTGTCGTCGGTTGACTTAACTCTGTTGCTGCTGTGTAAACTATACGCAGCTAAGCGCATGTCAATTCGACAGTTTCTGTGTTGCCATTGGTGACACTGATGACGTTGTTCAACTTTGGCAGTCCTGCTCACCACCCCGCCCCCACCCCTGTGGCTCCTAAGACGACATAGGGGGTGTTTTGGTTCAATTAAGGCTTAAAGATGACCTTGGGGCTGTAGTTTCAGGGGTCATCCACCCTCCCTGACTTCAAGAAACCGAGTTCATGAGAATTTGAAATTCTGTCCTGCATTTTCCCGTCTGCTAGCTTGTTAACCAAGCCCTGGACATGGAACTGGTGCCTTTACTTTGTGGGAGCGAGCACACTGACCCCGTCAAGTCTCTTGAGTTGCTTAGGGCACTGCCACCCAGGTCTGTTGTCTGGATGTGTTCTAGGTTGGAAGTGTGAATCCTGCTGAAAACTTCCGGGTTCTAGTGAGGCAGAAGAATGCCAGCTTTGAGGAAGGTGAGTGATTCTGACATTTGCTTTGCATCTAAGAAGGCATTTCAGGAAGTCTTCATGGATTTAGAGTCTGGATTCGTACCAGCAGGCTTTTGTCGTAATGCTTTACATAACGAGACTGGGAGAGCCTCCTGAGGGCCCCTTTGGGGTGCCTCTCCAGGATGAGCCGCCCCAACCCAGACAGACCGGTGTTTGGGTGTCCCTCCTGTGCAGACTGCAGGCCAGAACCCCCTTGTTCGGAGTGCCACATCATTGGGTGCCTTTGAGATCTTCTGAGTGAACTTGGAGTAAATATTTTGGGGTCAAATCTTCCTCATCCCAGAGATGTATATGTACTATGACCTTGCTGCTGCCCAAGAGATTCTTCTGCAATTGACTACCTTCTGACACTGTTCTCATTAGATATCTTCTAGAGCTCTGTTTAGTTTTGGCATGCTATCAAAACAGCTTTCAGGGTGGACAGAGGGTCTGGGAGCAACAGTTACTCACCTGACCGCAGTCTCTTTCCTGTTCATTCCCCTTTCATGAGCGGTGCCTGGCAGTACTGAAGCTGCAGGTTTGTGTGCACAGCAATTCTGTGTTCCTTATTGCTGCCCAGGGTCAGGCCGGTCCGTGAGCTGCCTTCTCTACAAGTGGTCGTGTGCATATGTACCCAGAACTTGATCTTCGAACCCAGTGGGTTTCGACCCCTTTGGGGGTCCAACGACCCTTTCACAGGGGTCGCCCGATTCCTAATAGTAGCAAAATAACAGTTATGAAGTAGCAACAAAAATAATTGTGTGGTGGGGGGGGTCACCACCACATGAAGAGCTGTATGAAAGGATCACGGCATTAGGAAGGTTGAGAACCACTGCTCTGACCTCTTGGCAATTTCTGCAGAGAAAATGACTCAACTGGCTGGAGACGCAGCAACTTTGTAGCCTAATCCTGCGCAGTGCCCAGCACAGAGCCTGAGGATCCTGGCAGGATGCCTGATAGCTACCAAGCTGGTGCCTCAGAGAGCAACCTGCCAGGCCACGGCATTCCTGTTGGAGGTGGAACAAAGGCCACGGCCACCAGCGTTTCCCTGAAGAAGGCCAGCTGAGACCTGACGGCCATGTGCATTCTTTGAGGTGGAGTATATGTAGTTACTTCGTAAAGTTCGTGGAAAAATGAAAGTTTTCCACCCCTTTTTGAAATCCCTTCATGTGCATTTGGCATGGAGAGTGTTTTGCTGTGTTGAAGGGCTGCCACAGAGGAGGAAAGCTTTGATGCACATCAGCGCAAAATAAGACCACGTCGAAGGAGGAGGAGAAAACCCACATGAGGTGAAAGTGGCAGCTTTGCAGAAGTCTGTGGGGGCAGCAGTGTTTCTCGCATGCATTGCGTGGTCTCCCTGCATTGCTCCTGTTGGACTGTGTGTGGTGACTGTTTGGGACAGGGCAGAGACACTATGGTGACAAATCAATGAATGCTGCCATCTGAAGTGATTACTGCAGAGACCAGAATAAAAATGCTTAGTGCCAACTATGTTATCAACAAACAAATCTATCTTGGAAGAAGTACACCCAGAATGCTGCGTAGATTTGAGGCTGGCGAGACTTTGTCTCACGTACTTTGGACATGTTATCAGAAGAGACCAATCCCTGGAAAAGGCCATCGTTCTTGATACAGTAGAGGGTCAACCAACTAGAGGAGGACCTTCAAAGAGACGGGTTGACACAGTGGCTGCAACACTCGCTTCAAACTTAACGATGATTGTGAGCACTCTGTGAAGCCTTTGGCACAATTACCCCACAGAGGCACATCGGCAAAGTCATGAGGATGTGCAGAGCACCGGAGCATCACAGAGACCAGCCTGTTCTGAAAGAGAGAATTGTCTTTATTGGGAAAACACTTTGGAAAGTGCCTGGGAGAGAGCCGAGTTTTTGGTTGCTAGGAGGGGAGCTTCAGGGCCTGACAGATGTAGAAAAGGTGGCGCTAATTCAGGAGAGGTGGGGTAAGGAGGGAGATGGGAGGGAGGAAAAGTAAATGGATTTACAGAGGGGTGCAGTCTTCTGCTTCACATTCCCCACTCGAGACCCGGAAATAGTTGGTGTCTGTAAAATATTGGAATTGTCTACTTTGAGTGTGGGGAAGCTAGCAAAGAGACAGAATTTAGGGTCTGGATTAATTTAGGGAAGAACAGAGTACATCCATGGACTCGAGGCCAGATTCTAAAGAGACCTTGAGAAAATTCCTGAGAATCTGCTTACGTTTGGAAAATGTGTTCCTCCCAGATAAGCACTTAGGGATCTGAAATAGTCTGTGAATATATCAAGGGTTATAGTGGGATTATGATCCCCATTTTAGAGCTGGAGTAACTGAACTGGAAGGGATTGATTTGTCCCAAAATAATAAGGATCCAAATCTAGATCCTTTTCAAGTAGTGGATTTTTCCCCCTTAGCCAGGCTGTTTCGCCTGGTTCCTAATGCTTTTCTTTCATGTATCTTAAAACTCTATGCCTATGGTTAATATACTCAGTGAGTCGACAATACTCTTTTCTTAAGAAATGGGATCTGATTCTGTTTTTCTAATTAACAGTTTTATTGGTGTATATAATTCACAGACTATATATACAATTCAATAGTTCAGTCATATTAAGAAGAGTGGTACAAACATAACTACTATCAATTTTGTTCTGTACACATTGTTATTATACTGTCTCTACAGATTTACCTATCCTGGATTTCATGTAGAGAAAAATATTTTGGAAGGAAAACTGAGAACAATAGCAAAGTAATACAGAGAAAAACTTCAATAGAAAAGCAAGCAGAGACTATTAAAATTGAGAACAAATTTAAAATGGGTCAAAAGGGAGATCAAGTGATAAGGTGTAAAATTTCAACTTAATTGCATCTGTAAGAATCCACTTTCCAATGCATTCTGCATGATAGCACGGCTGTTCACCTCGTTGTTCTGTGGGAATCAACAGTACTTTGAACGTGGCTTTGAGGCATGTCACCGGTGTTGTGACAGTAGGATGCAAAGAATCGGCTCTCCAGTGACTTCAAATCAGCCTTCCCTATAGCTGTGGGAGGACCAGACTGCACCTTGTCAGCAACTGGTTTCTGGTCCTGACTTGGCTTTCTTTATACACCCTTTCTCTCTTGAAGCTCCTGGAATTTTGTCTCCTCATGGCTTTCTCTACCTTTGCCTGGGTTTCTGCTTGGGCATCTCTCTTACCAACACTTGCCGACCCAATACTCACTTCCTTTGGGAGCCCACAGGTTCTAAGCTGCCTTATACTTCTCCCTCCTAAAGATTTTTGTGTAGTACATCTATTTTGGTTCTGTTGCCAAAACATGATCATCGTTAGGTGATTGGTAGGATTGTTTGGACCTGTGGTAGAATGGGGCCCTTTCACCTATTATTAAAAGCTGAACTAGGGGCCTAATTACTCTGTCTGGCCTTTGGTAGCCCAGTGATGCTGAGTGTGGTGGTCCTGCCGCTTGACGTTCTGCATTTGGCAGCTACAGATTTTCTGATTAGCCTGCTCTACAGTGGGATGTTTGCTGTTATATCATATTGACATAGAGGAAGCAAACTAACACTCCCCACCCAGGGAACACCATGTTCTGTGTGACAGCCAGTGGTTCTGCGATGGCTTTGATCTCCCAGATGCCCATTTTCCCAGTCCCTTTTCTCCGGCCCGCCATGCCCACCAATCACTACAGTTTTACAACGGGACACATTCTTAGCCATGGCTGTGTATATAATCACCACCCATAAATGGTGAAAGTGGGGCATATTTCTCCCCATGTACAATATCAGAGTCACTTACTGCTCCTCCCAGAAGGAAGTTAATCAGAACTACTAAGGAAGGACACCTTGGATTTCCAGCTGCATGCCCTTTTGCTGCTTTTACTTAGGAAGAACACTACCATGGTCAAAAGATGAGCAGTAATGTGGAGAAGAGAAAGCCCTATTACATTCATCCTCCAAAGAACACTTGCGTGATGAGCTGTGTCTGAGTTTACAGGTTCTACTGAGAATGTGCCATCATGTAAAGTGCCTGAAAGTTACCTGGTGGGGAGGGAGGGGGAAATGAGGAGGTGATGCCAGGGGCTTATGTGGAGAGCAGATGTTTTGAGAATGATGTGCTTTATATAATTGATGTATGTATGGATTATAAGAGTTGTATGAATCCCCAATAAAATGACTTAAAAAAAAAGTTACCTAGTATGTAAAAAACGAGTTCTCTAAGGGCGTTAAGAGCCAGATAAAAGAACAATATACATTTTCACAACATGTGGTGATTCTTTGTTGATAGACCTGTTTTCCCTGTTAAATTATGGGTACTCTATTAGATAACCCGAGTAATGATGAGGTGATGATGCTTCAGTCCATGAGCATGAAAGCTTAATTAATAAACAGACAGACCTCCAAAAGAAAACACCCTAAGTAGAAATGAGTCCCCAAATAACTTGTATTTAAAGTCAGATTTGTGTACAGTAATGTGCATAACGGTATCTGTTTGCTGAAACGCTTCAGTTGGCATGCTGTCTGTTCCTAGAACCTTGCTTTTGGCCCATGCCTTCAGGGCAAGCTGGACTTCTTCCTTTAGTACCATCAGTTCTTGATCAGATGCTAACTCCTCAAAAGGCTGAATATTGACCAATTATTTTTGATTCAGGGATTCTGTGTATTCTTTCTACAGTCCTTTGATACTTCCTGTGTCTGTCAATATTTTTCACTTACAGTTCTTTAATAATACAATGCCAGGCTTCCGTTTTTTCTTGAATGATGGTATCTTGAGAAACACTGAGTGTGTTCTTTCCTTTCGGGTTTTCTAACTCCAGGTCTTTCTTTGTACATTTCAGTAGAGTACTGTGTCTTCTCAAGCAGCTCCTTGAAATCTTCCACGGACATAGTTTTAACATGTTTCTGAGATGTAACTTTTATGTTTCAACAAATGATTGCATGGCTGGAAGTATTCATGCCCAAAAGTTCAGAAAGGGGCTACCTGACCAACTCACTGGAA